CTGTTTGCAAACAGGCAATAATATTGTAGGTCCATTTTATTGTTGTTTTTGCTACGCGCCGTTACAACACATTTTCATCTCATCATTTAATTTCTATTGTGCATATATTGTTGTATGTTTATCACAAAATATTATTATAAAAAATTGCGCAATAATCATTAATTGTCAATTTCGTCATTAAATACCACAGCAAATACAAAATAAATAGCACAATTAAATTTCTTGTAAAAACTGGTTATTATGAAGTTATTTTAAAATTTGTAAGTTCAACTGTTTGGTTTCCTATAGCGAACAAAATAAACAAATAAACAAACTTCCTCTTTTATATATCTGTTATAAATTACATTATCCACAGTTGACATGATAGAAAGATGTGTGAACTATTGTGGCAAAGTTATCAATATACTGGGTACATATTATGTGTAATTGGTTTCCAAACTAGGTATACAGGAACTAATCTGGTGTTTTTAGGTATTAAGTATAATTCTTATTTCAATAACATTTCATTATTTATCATTGTCTGTTTAAACTTTTCTAATTAAGATTACATTGTAATTCTTATTATAAAATAAATATCTTAATATGGTTTTATTTACACATGTATCCAGGTTTGCGATGCAGAGATGCATTTCTGTCGATGGGAAGATGGCATAAAAACTCCATTACCCATCATTGGTGGTCATCATGGATCAGAGATACTCAGAAGTTTGGAAGGCATTGAAAATTCCTTTATGTCTTCCCTGAAAAATCTAGAAAGTGCTAGCAATCAGACTTTAGACATCCGTAGTACAACTTGGCATGATCAGTATGGAAAGTATGTGAGTTTCTTATGTGAAATTGTTGTTTTTGAAGTTTTGTTTAAATTTTCATTAAGAAATTACCAACAAGTTTTTCCAATACTGTTAATGTTTAGGAAGACACATTTCTTCATTTAAGCTTTACAAGCAAAGACAGTTGAAATAAAATAAAAGTTTAGCACATTTTACAAGTGATGGTTATACGATAATAACTTCTATGAATTAATTTGTTATTAATTTCAAAACAAGATAATAAAAAATATTAATTTACATGTACTCTAGATTTTGTCAGACAATAAGTTAAATATTTTGAACTGTTTCAGTTTTGTAATTTTGTATTATTATTTTTGAATGATGATTCATGAGGTTTCCATTCTCAAATCTAAGTTCTTACACTTGAAGAATATTTTTTTCTGTATAGAATACATTCTTGAGCCTACACTTAATACTGAAGCACTTGGTGATTCTCTAAGTGTTATTCAAAACTCAATAAATGGATAATGAAATTATTTCGTAAATTAATATTATGCATAAAAATCTTCCCCTGTGAGAAGCAGTAACTTTAGGAGCCTACAATGCTAAAATCTAGGGTTCAATTCCCTGCAGTGCACAGAGACAGGTGACCCACAGTGTAGCTTTCCACTAAAACAGCAAGAACATCATCAATAAAAATTCTGCTATTATTAATATTATTATGCCTGATAACAATGAAAGGTATAATCTTTATTCTCTGTGGAGTGCTCTTAAAACTTATTTATTGAATATTTAATAGGTTTCGAGCCAACATGAGAGATCTGGAAGTTATGGCACAGAATGTGATATCTTTTGCTTTTGACAGAGTGACAACTGTACATGAAGGACTTGAATTGTTAAGAGTTTTTAAGTACCTTGCAGAACGGGAGGTAAGAATTAAACAGGTTTTAGTATCAGTGAAATGGCTTTTGAAAAAGAACAAAATTCAAGAATAAACTCATCAGCTATACAGTTGTTTTCTTTTTTAATAATTTTAGAGATAAAAAAATAACTTGTATGTTATTATGACATATGTTATATTTGGGAAAAGTAATGTTATTTTTTGTTGATATACATGAGTCTTATCTCTAGTCCATCAGCCGAGCATATGACAAGAGAACAGTAGAAGTGTATAATATGTATGCTGAGGAGCTGAACAATGTGCAAATGGAGCTCTCACTGAAACAGGTTCACCTTTTTCCTCTTCATCCTCAATATGCTGGAGCTGCTTATTGGGCTCAAGGTTTGCGTCAGAAGATTGAGCGACCTCTGAAGGTTAGTTTCATCCTTTTTAAACAATATTTAATAGAAACTATTATCATAACATGTATTTTAGGAAATCAATGATCATATTAAATAAAAATGTATTAATCTGACAGAAATTTTAATTTTAATAAAAAAAATTCTTGTATGTAACATTAGATAACTTTTTTCTTAGTCGAGCTGCTTATTTACACAAAATTGGTAAGTTTCAAAGGTTTGTTTGTTTGTTTAATTATGCACAAAGCTACACAAGGGCTATCTGTGCTCTGCCCACCACGGGTATCGAAACCCGGTTTCTAGCGTTGTAAGTCCGGAGACATACCGCTGTGCTACTGGGGGGCAAGTTTCAAAGGATAATTTCAATAAATAATAATATCTCTTTATGAAATCTACCCTAAGATCTATATCTGTTATCTTCACTGGTACACCACATTGATTAGAGAAACATCTGATCAAGAGATTAACCTTCAGTTTCTGTTTTTTCCTGAATCCTTGTCACTTCTTTAACTTTGCATTATTCATATTTGTTTCATTCATGAGAACCATTTTTCATCTTTGTAAATAATGGTATTTGTAAATTTGTTACCAATTAATATCTAACATTCTTTTTTTTTTCCCTTAACCCGACTGTGTGGTATTGTTTTCATTCCCCTGTGTGTGTAAGCACTCAAAAAGGTTTCATCTGAATTTGATCAAATTTGCAACAATATTTGAGTCCTTCAAGGATTAATTTTTAACTTTTAGTTAATGTACATCAATGGTCAAGGTCACGCTGAAGGAAAGCCACTTGTTATAATGGTAGCTAATTGGGATTTTGAAGAATAGTTAAACCTCAGCAAAAAAATGAAGATAGAAAGAAGCTTTTGGCACCTCAACCTAAATTTTTGAGGGTAAGGAATTGCTTGGTGTATATTTTAAGTTGTTTAATTGCAGCAAAAATAAAAAATATTATAGGTCTGGGGTTGCACTCATTGAGTGCCTTTCTGGTTTGTATTTCTTCATTAACTTTGGAACGGATTATCTTAAGAGAAATAGGGAATGTGTGTGTATTCCAGCTGACCCTTCCCCACACGATTAACTACATCTGGTTTTCTACTGAACTTCACAAGAGTAATAACCATTACCATTCCTGTGTTGTAGTAGGACTCCCTCAAAAGATCTGCTAGACATTTTTTTAGAGATGTACTTTATATGAATTTTTGCTTATTTGCAGTCATGTATATAACTGTCTTTATTGAAGCTTTTTCATAAGTATTTCTGTTTGCAGTTCCTAGCATACTTTAAACATACCCAATCATTGGGTAACATTATGTTGGATATTGTACAATGTTTCAACTGAGTTCATCTTTATTCACCTTATATAAGTATTATGAATCATAAAGTGTCAATATCAAATGTCCTACTTATTTTGTCTTTTGGAGTATTTTTTCTGAGGAGCAAGTCAGAAACTTTTTATTTAATTTCTGTGGTGCATAATGATGTGTTGAAGACATATTAATACTAGAAATAAATGACCTTATAACACCAAAATGTTGCTTTTATTTAATCAGACACTCAAAATTTTACCAGTTTATGTTTTATTGAACACTCCTGAAGAAGCTGTAAAGCAAAACATTGAGTGTCTAATTAAATAAAAACAACATTTTGGTGTTAAAAGGTCATTTATTTCTAGTATTAATAAGTCAGAAACTTTGATAGATTCCAGTCTCATTGTAAATTGTAAGCCAAACACCTTTTTTTCAAAATAGTAACTTTAATTGAATGTTCAAATCTTTACTTTGAGTGTCTTTGGTAGACTGATCATTTATCTCAGAGGGCACTCTATTATTGAATAAATGTGTAAGGCCTTTCATATTCCTAGCAAGCTTTTTGAGGGTTACTTTTTCTTGTCACTTCTAAAGTCCTTCACAATAATTATAACTGGCCTCCGGGGATTCTAATTGGTCCTTATCTAGTTTAACTGGTCCTCTCCAAGAATGTTTGTATGTGTGTGTATATATATATATATATATATGGTAATTCCATTTTATCAATTGCATATATGAATTTTTGAAAGAAGACACAATTGCAAATATGTATGTACAACATTAAACAAAGCTTTCTGATTAAGCCACTGGAGGCTTTAACACTTGCTCAAGAAACTGAAGCAGAACACACTGGAGAGATAGAGGAAGAAGAATTATAACTGGATAGAAGTGTGTGACAAATAATTATATTACTCTTGGAATGCACAGTCTTTATATTAATTCAGATGTGACATGTGACTACTATTTTAATACTGACCATAATGTGATATATATAACATTTGATATATACCCTTTTAATTAGTTGACCTGAGATTACTATTTTAGCACTGACCATAATGTGACTTGAGATAACTACTTTAATACTGACCATTTAGACTAGTTGATATTGAAATGTAACATGGTCAAAACTTTCAGTCAGTTTCAGAATTTAACTCTTGCAGCTAAAGATATATGCTTTAAAATAAGCAGTACTTTTTAACATGTTTAGCTTGGAAAGCTGACAGTCTAGTCTAGTATATTTTACTTAAATTGATCCTAACTATTTTCCAGTGCACTGGCAAATGTCAGGCATTGGTAAGTATTGCATATGACTATTATGAGGAGGTCTAGGAAAGTGACTGAAATCTGCAGATCACATTTATCATCAAAATATCATAATAAGTAAATATCAAAAATATTAACTTATGCTATTAATTGGCCTGGCCAGGATCTTCAAATAAGCAAACTTTAAAAATGTAAACAAAGACCTATGCCCTATTAATAGTATTATAATTTACTATTACACTTTACATGTTAGTCTATTTATAATATCATGATTAGGCCTCTTGACTATTGTTATATTTGGTTATACCTATGGTAGAACTTCAGAATACCATACCTTTGATGAATGCACTTGTGTGCCTTGTCATCCTTTTTGTATACTTCTGGCACCATATGCAAATCATGAGCTTGTCATTACTCAACTTTAGCCACTGTTGGCTATGTCCACATCTTGTTCTCCACTTTCAGAGATAATCTTTTTGTCTTTAGTTGCTTTGTTAACTTGGTGTTACTTGTGTGCTTGGTTTCCTGTGAAATGTAAACTATTCCTTCATTGAGATGTTAATATGTGTGTCACACTTCACTTGGATTGGTCCCACCATTACATGTTCCAGGAACCTCCTTTTCATGTCAGATGTCTTTGGTACTTTCCATAATGCCTAAAAATTGGCAAGAAATCCCCAGAAAACTCAAGACTTCATTTGGGAGAGATTGAAGTAAAGAAGATACTTCCATGAAATGAAAACACATTTATAGTTTTAAGAAAAAAGTACAGAAATGTACATTTGATAACAAGATAGAATAGGAAAAATAATTAAAATTCTAATCAGCCCAAGGGCTGACCGAATGATGCAAATTTTGGACTCTGATATAATCATACTTGCATGGCGTTTCTGCAGAAATTATATCTATTCAAGTAATCCATACTCACATGTGCAAAATTTTCTTAAAAAACACATTTTTGAGCTGAATTTCCTCTAATATTTTTTTAAAAGAATATCTCAGTTTCTTCAAAATAGCCATAATTATACACATATTCTAACCTTGTCACTGGTAAAAACTTTTATCTCAAAACTAGCTTCTTCTGTATATATATTCTAAAGACAAAGACTAGTTTTTATAACTTAGTATTCTTGAGCGAGTTCTACTAGAAAATAAAATTTTCATTTTTTAAAATTTTATAAATGGTTTATTTCAATGTATTTTTAATAATCCATACATTCATTTCAGTTGTTAAAAGCTGCTAAATGGTTACCCCACACTGGTATAGGTGATGAAGTTCATGCACAGTACCAGCAGTTAGTTCATGCTTTGGATGAGTTTATCTGTAAAACATTCAATGATTGGTGTGCTACAATTGATGAGGTTTGATTGCATTTTTCAATTACCAAATTTTTTTCTTATAATTTCAAGTGAAGTCTGTCAATAACTCCGTGTGAATAAGTTGTTAAAAAAATGTTAAATTTCCCAAGTGAAACGATTTTAATACCTAAAAGCTCTCATTATTGTCACTTAAGAGAAAAAATATTTTTCAATAACTTTTCTATAAAGGATTGTTCATTAACACGTAGTATTGTGCTTCATATTTATGACACTCATACGTAATTCTAAGCATGTTCTACAATTGTGCTAGTCCATAGCTTTGTAACATCTTGACCATTGTCTTGAAGCCTCACTTGTTTTCTGTAGAATCTTAAATTTATTTTAAGTTTTTCGTTTTGATTCAATGAACTTTGTATTTATTGGTAAAAGTACTCCAAATAAGTTTTTGAACTGTTATATTTTTACAGGACCCAATGAAAAAACTTCAAGCTCCACTTATGTGCCGTAATATACATGAACCTGGAATGATAGATGCAAACTTTGATAGGTAATTATCAATGTTCATAAGTAATAGAAAATCAATGATTTAACCAATTATAATTTTATCATTAAATTTAATTCAGTAAAGTGCAATATTAATCTAAAAGCATAATTTTTGTGGAACATCACTGTAATGATTTATATAAATGTGCTCTTTAAATAAAATAACAATTTTACCTTAATTTAGAAATTATTAATTTTTGAATTACATGCAAGTCAGTGACCATTAAGAATTTTCCATTTTCGAAACATAAGAAAAGTATTAGGAATTTAAATAATACACTGAAAACTGTGTTTTCTTATTCATATTACAGATCTATTTTAAAACATTACCAAGAGATGATACACTGGGAACAGTTAATGTTTGAGATCCCACAATATGTTCAAGAATTATACTTCAGGAAAGATGAGCTCCAAACTCTCCTACAGAATGTACTTGTAGTGGTCAGGGAATATAACCAGTAAGAAATTAGAATATATACTTGCAGTGATCAATTCTTTTATGGGCATGAGTACAGTTAATAAGAAAGAAGCCAAAAAGTTCCTAATATTCATTAGAAAACGTTGGTAATGTTTTGGTAGGAAGTATATGTATCAAGAACTAAAGGACTTATGTAAAGGTATAAGGAAATAAAAACTCTGTTATATGCATGGAGTGTTATTAATCTTTACCTTAATTCTGACTTGTAAACGGTTTAGATAAAAATTGATAATAATTACAATTTACTTAGTTAATCTAGTTGAAACCATAAAAGTTGTTCCTGAAATTATTGATATGAATAGCACTTTAACCACGACTATATTTTTTGTGTCCTAGCCAAATTGATGAATCCTGTATTGGGCAAAAGGCCTTGTTGGCACTGGATGTGACAGATCAGTGTAGTTGGCATATTGTTACTTATTCTTCTTTGCTTTTACTCATAGGTGTATACAATTACTTGTGGGGCATAAAAACAACAATAGTCTTTTAGATCCTTATACTTATGTTACGTTTTTGTTTGTTTGTTAATTTCCCGTAAAAATTC